TTGGCCACTGGAAACCCTCTGGTCCAGGTTCTCAAGGCACACTGTTGGGGCCAACCAGTGACTCCTCAAGTCTCACTTCCCTCCTCCACAGCCTGGACCTGCTCCTGTCGGCCTGCTCCTCTGAGCCCTCCCAACACCCCTGCTCCAGCTTCCTTCCCACCTCTCCAGCCTCTGCCCTCTGTGGCTGGCTCTGCCCTCTGTGCGACCCCTGGCTGACGCTGAGGCATGGCCTGAGCTTATTCTCATCAACACACTCTTACCAGGAAACTCATCCCTTCTTGGGTTGAACCACCACTTCCACTGGGATCCCCCAACTCAGCATCCACCAAGAACACTGAACCTCCCCACCTACCTGCTAGCCATCTCCACCGGCATGCACCCTGGGCCTTCTGAACTCAAAATGGGTCCAGGGGGCCTTCAGAGCCTTACCAGAGTCACTGCTTCTCGTTCTGGGTCCCCTATCAGGGGTTGTCATGACCAGGCCAAACCAAGTCCTGATAGTCAGCCCTGCTATCTCACTCACTGATACTTGCATGCCATCTCCTTTCAACATTTCATGAGCCTTTCTCTCTTGGCCACCATCATGCCCACTGCCATAGCACAGGCCTTCATTACAGGCCCTGGGGTTCCTTCCCTAGGCTACCAGAGAGATCCATCACATGAAACACAGATCAGGTTCCTGATTCAGGAGCCTTGAAAGGCTTCCCATTGCATGGGGGAAACCCCCTGAAAGGCATATGCACTGCGTAAGGGGAAAGGCCTCAGCTTCACAGCACACTACTCCAGATCACAGCCTCTTGCCCCTGTTCATTCCGCCTGCCCTTGGTGCCGTGCTCCAGGCTGACTGGAGCACATTTACCCTCTTTCACCCTGGTCTTCCTGGTCTGTCTAGTTCATGAGGTTCCGCTTGAGCACCACATCGGTGTCATTCTGGGTAGTCTAGAGAAACAAATTCATAAATATGCATATGTGTATAAGAAAGAATTTTATATACAAGAGCAGTTGAATATTGAGAAAACATCCCAGCCCAGTCCAGATCAAGTCCATAAGTCCAATATTAGCCCATATGTCTGATCCCAATCTATAAAGTCCTCTTCAGAGTTACGAAAGTGGGTGAAGTCCAGTGGCGTTGTAAGCATCTCAGCACTGTCAGGGGTCTTCACGTGGCCCCTCCAGTTCCCAGGGCACGGGGTCTATCAGAGTAGTGCCATGTGTCTTGTCAGTAGAGCATCTCTCCAGGGAGTCAGCAGGGTGGGGGGGAGGGAGAGAGAGAGACTCTTTCTCCCCCAAGGAGGAAATCCATGAGTTCCCAGAATTCTCAGGAGAAGGCCATGCCCACACAGACCCAATTGATAGACTAGACTCCACCCCTTCACCCTTAATCCTCTCAAGTGCCAAATTGACACCAGATTATGTAACTACCACATCCTCCAGAAAGCCTTCCTGCTGCCCTCTGATGCACCAGGGACCCTCTTGCGCATTCCCTCGGTAGTACAAACAGTTTGTGCTCAACTGCTACCCCAGAGTTGGTGGCTGGAACCTACTCAGGAATGACCAGAAAGAAAGTGCTGGTGATCTCCTTCTATAAAGATTACAGCCCAGAACATTCTATGGATAGATTCTATTCTGTAGTGGGGGACGGGGGAAGGGGTGGAGGAAGAGCTGACTTGACAGCAATAGAGTGTTTCTCATAGCACGTCTCTCTTCTACGGCGACGCAATACTTGTTCTCCCCACCTCCTAGGCTGGAATGACTGTCTTTAAAGTCAGGGCGGTTCTTGTTCTTGGTTGTTATGGGCTAGGAAATAGTTGTTGAGATTAAGGATCACAAGTCTGAAATGCAGACCCTGGGGGTCCTCTTGAAGAATCAGATTTGACCGGATGTGCAGACATTGGAAATGGAATACTTAATAACCGCCCCCCTTTATCTAATAAAATGTTAATTTTGTTCAAGGAACAGCAGTAGTGTTAAGCAACTATACTTCTGAACCTCCTCTGCAGAGGGTTGCCATGGGATGTAGTTTTTGCCAATGAGACTCTTTTTCTGCCAAGGGCCATTTGGGCATTTAAAACATCATTCCCGGGCCATACAAAACTATCAACCTAAAAAATAGCCAGCTGTATTTGGCCATGCATTTAATTACCTCAGCACTAACATGATGGCCAGACGGCTTCTCTTTGATGAGCCATGTGAAGTTAGCTGGTATTGATGATTTTTGAAGGCATACGGCAGGCCGGATGTTCCCCACCCCTGATATACATGGAAGAGATTTTCCCCTTCCTGTTTCCTGTCTTCCATTTCCTCCCTGGAACTGAGAGGTGCTGGAGGTAGAATAGCCGCGTGTAACTATGAGACAGCTATTAGATGAAAGCCACATACTAAGAAATTCTAAAGGAAATCTAAAGAGCATGACCCCTGGGTTACCTCCAGACTGCTTCTCATGAGAAGCAAATACCTCTCACTTGGGTATATTGGTGACTACTTTCAGCTGAACTCCACCTAGTGAAGGCAAATAACCGCATGAACCTGAATAGGTCCTTCCATCCAAGGTGACAGCGGCCCCACAGTGGGCAGGACCAGGCGAGCACTGGAAACGCAGACCCTCCCTGGGACTCTGCTCCTCTCTGGGGAGAGTCCTGCCCTGCAGTGTGAGGAGGAGGCTCTGCCAGCACAGCATCAAGGTCTGTTAATGTCTATGGCATTAACCCCAGCCTTCCCTGGTCCCCTGCTTGGTTTGTTCGTGGCTGCTCCTATCCACACCCAGCTCACAGTCAGCATTTAAACAGAGCTGGAGATGAAACCATTGAACAAACCATTGAACTCTTTCCCTGCTGAAAGAGTTAACTTTTCTAAAGGCACACTTAATACTCCAGGTGCAGGCTTTGGAATCAGAGAAAGCTGGGTCAGGTTCCAACTGCGCCATTCACTAGTTGCATTGACTTCTCTGGCATCCTCGACTTTAGACGTTAGGTTGTAAGCGTGCGCGTCAGTGTAAGGCTGGTGTTCAGTTGGCGTGGAATCAGGTGGGTGCTCAGCAAAGCGATCGATGTCCACGTGGTGTTGCAGCCCACTGCCTGACACACCCTGAGCTCTCCAGAGCATCAGTTGTCCTGTAGTCTGTGTTTCCTGAGAGTTCGTGGCTGGCTGCTCTGAGGCAGGGGCTGCTGCAGTCTACAGGTGAATAAAGGGGCCCAAGGGGCCTTTGTTCAATGGTTTCATCTCCAGCTCTGTTTGAATGCTGACTGTGAGCTGGGTGTGGATAGGAGCAGCCACGAACATAGGACAGCCCAGCCCCACGAAGGCATCAGCTCTTGCAAAGAAACAAGACACTTGCAGCATGATCCATTTGTTCTGCAGTCTGGGACAGAGTACCCACTAAACAAGGTAAGCACGGGCTGACGTACAAGAAAATCTATGGGTACCTCGTTGACTGGGTGCTCTGTCCTTATCAGGGCTTTTTAATTTCAAAGAAGCTTGGATTCTGTAGGAAGGTGCTGTGGGGTTGGGAGAGAGACGGAGCCAGCCAGACCTAGAAGTTGGATCTTTAATGTAGTGGTTCAGTACAGATTAGGAAGTAAGCACAAGTAGCCTCTTGCTTTCTGGGTAGCCTGACACTTTCTGTGGGCTTTATCTTAGACAAGGCTTCCAGGCTATGGAGGGGGCTGGGAGATGGTGGCTATCAGGAAGTTGTGGGGATACCTCTAGAAGCCCACTTCTTGCTGTAGCTGCTTTTGAAGGAACATTCATTCTTCCCTCAGTGAAAAGTCTCCCTTCTCCCTGCAGTCGGAATTCTGGCGGTAGAAAAATCTCAGGGAAGAAATAAATGCGTTGTCCTAGTCCAACCCTGAAGAGGAGGTCAGTGAGGTGCGTCCCACTCCTCCCGCCCCAGCACTCCCGCCCAGACCGGCAATGCTGACACTTGACAGCGCCTGCACTTTACCTTGGCTCAGCTCCAGAGGGTTGGGGCCTGGCTTGGGGCGGCCCCCACCCCTCCACCTTGTTACCCGCCTGCTCTCCAGCGCAAAGAGCAGTTTACATATAAATCAGACCTCGACACAAACAGAACCTCGGGCGAGCCTCAGAGCCATCACCGGAACGGAGATTCCAGGTTTGCTCCCAGTGCAAACAAGCCGGGGCCAGCTCAGAAACTCCCCGACTCCGTCGGGAGGGGCGCGGGTGCTCCCCTCGCCTCCAGAAGTCACCCCCTCCAAGTTGCTCCCTTCCAACACCCCTGGGGCGCCTTCCAGATTCCTCCTACCCCCACCCTCTGT